GAGGCTATGGCCTTTATGGAGGCTATGGAGGCTACGGGAGCTGCGGATACGGTGGCTGGCGCAGAGGCTACAGAGGCAATTGCGGTCCCTGCTAAACCCCACAGTGTGTCTGGGCACAAATGAAGGAGAACTCCAAAAAAAAGCCCCAGTACCTCCCAAAAATGACACCCTTTGGAGGACATCCCTTCTGTATTACTGGGCTCTGTATCTTGAATGCCTTGTGCCTCCTTGAGCCCCAGTTCTGCCTTCCACCTGCCCCATTTGAGCTTCGCCTTTGGATTTGCTGCCCATGACAATGCAGCCCCACACTGAATGCCTACTCCCATGGTGTGGCTGATGCTCACTGTCATTCTGCCTGTGGTCAGAAGATGTGGGCTGTCCTTGGCCAGCACCCTGCTTTTGTCTTTCAACTGCAATAAAAGCTGTGTTGCATTGCAATGTTGACTCCTGGTTTTTCATGATCCTTCCTCTATACCAAATACCCCAATGACAGCAAAGTTTTCAGTGAACAACCCAGTCACCTCACACCCAGGACCTTGTTAGGGTGACCTGCAGGAGCTGCTTCATTCCCTCCTGCCTGTCCTCAGGTATCACACCTCTATGCAGAAGGGTCACCCAAACCTCTGGCCATGTTCAGCTCCTTTGACGACAGCTTCTCCCTCTTTGCCCTCCCAGTTTTCTCCCTACTTTGGGTTCCTTCATTCTACAGCCAAAGAAGAGCTGTTGGGCCCCACAGTGAGTTTTCTGCCCACTCTGGCTATTCCCCATGGACTGCCTGCAGCCCCATGGCTGCATGGCTTGGGATGACAAAGCAGCCACTGGACTGCAAAGGCCCAGGCCAGAGGCACTTGGGTGGCCATGGGTTGATAATGGAGAGGTGACCAACATGAAACACCTCCCCAACTGCCTTGTGTCCATCCCCTCCACATTTCTGCACCTTTCCTTTTCCTCCTTCTGCTTTTTCTCCATCTTCCACCACTCCTTGGAGCTCTTTTGCTCCCATCTTGCCCCCACTGCTGGAGCAGGAGATCTTTGCAGCATTCCCTGTGTCACCCACCACAGCCTGGAGACATGGCTTTGCCCAGGCAGCACAGGAAAGCTTCCAACTGCACACTGTTCTGTACCAGACTTTGCTGGCCCTTTGCTGCCCTTCCTCACACAACATCCCACGAAGTAGTCCACATTGCCACACTCCCACAAGACACCCAGACACTGCAGCCGTGATGGGGTCACCGACACCCCCTTGCACCCCTGTGCCCTCAGCAGACAGGCAGGGCACGCTACATGAGTCAGGACACAGCAGATGGCCAAGAGCCAGTGCAGAGGGATCTGGGTAGATATGAAGACAAGCAGGGATGGAAACATCCTAAAGGGGAAGAGGAGATGTGCAAACTTCAGGCAGTGCAAAAGACCAATGCCTTCTCTAGCCATTTTGCTGCCCTTTTTTTTCCCATCCTCTGTGTTCACAAATGTGCGTGACACATCTTTTCCTGAGCTCCACAGCAGTGACCAACGTGGTTCAGCTCTGCCCTTCCTGATGGCTCTGGTCAGAACTGGCACTGTCCAAGACCAGCATGCAGTGCTGGGATCGCACAATCAGAGGATATGTGGGGAAGGGAGAGACCTCCAGAGGCTGGACAGTCCAACCTCCTGCTCAAAGGGCTTTGCACTTCATGTGACTGGATAGCCATGGGTGTTTGATGGCTCTGAGAGGAAACTTGGGAAGAGTTGGCTGTCTATCTTACCCCATCCCAGTGATCCCACATTTACCTTGGCAAAGAAGTATGGCCAGCAGCCCTGTACATGCAGTGGTAATCTCTCCATTTCCCTGGACCCCAAATGTGACTGATAACAAGTGAATAAAATGAGGTAATGCCAGGCATGCTGGTTGTGCAGAGGATTTAAAAGAGCTTCTGCAAGGCACCTATGGCACATTCAAGCATTTAAATGGTGGTCTTTGGGTGCGTATTGTGTTCATTGTGAGTGAAACATCAAAGTAAAGATCAACAGGATGTGCTCTACAAGACCAAGGTGGAACTGTTGTTCTCAGTCGTAACACACTGACCAAGCTGCCCAAATGCTGCAAGGGCACTGCTGTGGGAGATTCAACCCACCCAGACTGACACGCCATGAGGTTTGGAGGAAGTAGGAAAGAAGAAGGAAGTATCAAGAAAAAACATGGGTCAACATTGCAATGCAAACAGCTTTTATTGCAGTTCCAGGGGAGGAGGGAGGTGGGAGAAGAGCATGGTCTTGACCAGTGCCTTTCAATGTCTCTTGGCAGTGGGCAGGGTGACACTGAGCATCAGCCATGCCACAGCAGTAAGCACCTAACACAGGGCTGCATCATCACAGGCCAGTGAATCCTGAAGGGATGGTCAAGCAGGGCAGGATGAAGGCAGAGTTGGGCTCCAAGCAGGCATGAGGTGACCAAGCTCCAGTGTGCAGAGAAATCCTTCCTTCAGGCATTGGGTTGGGATGTGCTGAGGGTTTTTCTGGAGCTGTCCTTCATCTGTGACTTAGCAGGGCCCACAGTTGCCGTTCAGGTACCTGTGACCTCGGCGCCAGCCACCGTATCCGCAGCTCCCATAGCCTCCATAGCCACCATAAAGCCCATAGCTTCCATAGCCCCCAAAGCCTCCGTAACCTCCAAAGCCTCCATAGCCTCCATAGCCCCCATAGCCACCAAGGCCTCCATAACCACCACGGCCCCCCCCAAAGGTCCCGCCGTAGCCCCCGCCGACAGCGGGAGCTCCTGCTGAGCCAACAACGCTGTACTGCGGAAAGCTGCTGAGGATGGGCCCAGGGAAGGTGACCACCGAGGCTGGGGGCTGGATCACCACCTGGGAGTCGGGGCACTGCCGCACGCAGGGCTCGTTGGCGGTGTCAGCCAGAGGGGCCGGGGCGGCCACCCCACAGGAAGTGTTGCACAGGCTGGAGCAGGACATCTTCTAGGCAGGCAAGGAGTCCTGGAAAACATTCCAGGAGTTAGAGAGGGGTGTGGGGAAGGGGCTGTAGAGAGGAAGGCAAGGGGAGATGCCCAAGAGGCTTTTGAGAGCTGGACTTACCCAGTTGATCAGGAGAGTCAAGTGGAGGAAGGTGGATAGAGGACTGCAAAGCCCTCAGCTCTTTTATACACATCCCAGAGTGCCTGGGGCATCAGCCAGGGGGCGGTGACAGAAACCCCAGGTAATTATGGAATCAAGCAGACAAGCTTCATGACACTGATTTCATGTGATGTGAGTCAATTATGTGCATCCTTACTGGTGACATTGGCACTCAGATGTGCTCTGGAAATAGAGACCAATTGGATAGAGAGGCCGTGACACATCACTACATGAAAGAAAAGGCGCTGCCGTAGCGTGCCTGGCAGCACCAATAAAGCCTGATCTGTCCCTAATCCCACCACTTTGCCTATGTGCCAGACTTCTGAGCATCTTGCAAAAATGCTTTGCAATCCAGCGTGCAGCCATCACGCCTGTCATTAGCTCTGCTTTACAGGCTGGTAAACAGAGGCTGGGGGTGGTTGAGCAAAGGCAGAAAACATTCCACCCACTCACGGTGAATCCCAAATTCCCACCTTCTCCCCGTGCCTGTGAAGGCTGGGGACCTTTGGGGTCAATAAGTTAGGGGCATCTCCCACTTTGCTTACATGGTAAAGTCCAAGGCATCCTGCAGAAGATTGCTCTGCCCAAGTACGTCCCACCAGGCTGCTGCTCCCAGTCAAAGCATTCAGCAGCAGCCCGGCCATGTGCCCTGAGCCAGCGGTGCCCAATGTGCTTGTGGATGTGAGGAACATGGCCCCGTGCAGCCTGGCCCTATTTGGGTGCTTGGGGAGCTTCTCCCAGCACAGCCCTTCCTGCCATGCTGAGTCCCTCCAGTGAAGACTTGGGGAGTACCACACTCTGAAAATGTGGCCAAGCAAGAAGAGAGTGTCCCGGTCCCCTTCTGTGCCCCCAGCTCCTCTGTGTGTGTCCCCTTCACACAAGACCCTGCGGTCTGATCGCACTGCTGACACATTTGTGTTGGCCTCTGTGCTTGTGGGTCTTTGTCCCACACAGCAGAGATTGCCCCTTCTGTTTGCACAGCTGTTAACTGGAGAGACACAAGCACATCATGTCAAGCAGGGGCATGGACATTGCCAAGGCTTAGAGATGCTCCTGACCTAGAGCCTCAAAAGGTCCTCGGCCCTCACAGGTAGTGGGAGATGGAGGGTATTTGGGAGTCACCCCAAGGAGGTGAAATGTTTTCTGCCTTTGCTCAACACCCCTGCCTCTGTTTACCAGCTTGTAAAACAGGTAATGACAGGATTGAAAAGCAAAACATTTCTGCAAGATGCTCAGAACTCTGGCACATAGACAAAGTGGTGGGATTAGGGTTTATAGGTGTCACCTGGTCAGCTACAGCAGCGCCTTTTCTTTCATGTGTCATGGTCTCTCCCTCCCATCACCTCTTTCTTCTCCTGAGCACATCTGAGTGCCAATGTCACCAGTAAGGATGCCCATAATTGTCTCACATCCCATGAAATCAGTGTCATGAAGCTTGTCTGCTTGATTTCATAATTACCTGGGGTTTCTGCAACGCCCCCTGGCCAATGCCCCAGGCACTCTGGGATGTGTATAAAAGAGCTGAGGGCTTTGCAGTCCTCTATCCACCTTCCTCCACTTGACTCTTCTGATCATCGTGGTAAGTCCAAGTCTTACCTCCGTCTTTCCTTTCTCAACAGTGGCTTTCTCAGGGTATCTTTTGCTGGGGGCTCCAGCACTCTCTCATAGTGCACAGTGAGGATGTGATGGTGCTGTCTGAGAGCTACAGAAAGGAAGGGAATTTAAACTTTCAGGTCCAATGCCCTGAGGATACCAATGCACTCAAGTCCTTTGGGAGCTTGGTGACTTTGCATCTGCTTTGGATGAGGAAGATTTCCTTCCCTCCTGCGAGCAAGTCAGGAGCATGAGGGGAGCAAGGG